TTTTCCCGACGACTTACCGGAGGGACTGCCACCTTAGCGAGCACACGACCACCGCATAGACTTAGAACCCAGGGCACAGCCAACCGTACAGCGACAGTTCCGACGGACACAGCCCGAGCTCGATGAGCTGAGGAAGCAGTTAGACTACCTGTTAGAGAAAAAAATCATCCGACCGAGCTCGTCACCGTTCGCCGCACCGATACTGTTCACACCGAAAAAAGACGGAGGGTTTCGCATGTGCATCGATTACAGAGCACTGAACCGGGTAACAGTCAAGTCGCGATACCCCATTCCCCGCGCTGACGAACTGATCGACCAGCTGCGAACAGCACGGGTTTTTTCGAAAATAGATTTACGGGGAGGTTACCACCAGATTCGGGTCGAACCATCGGACTGCGTAAAAACAGCATTTAGAACTAGGTATGGGTCATTCGAGTACACCGTGATGCCATTCGGGCTGACCAACGCACCGGCGACCTTTCAAATGACCATGAACGAGGCGTTTAGGCCGCTCTTAGATAAATGCGAAATAGTTTACCTCGACGACATCCTAGTTTACAGTCGGGATAAGCAGCAGCACTTAGCAGATCTGGAAGCAGTATTTAAGGTTCTAGACGAGCACAGATTACTGACCAAGGGTTCCAAGTGCGAGTTCTTCTAGGATAGGTTAGAATTTTTGGGGCACGTTATTTCGGAGGCTGGAGTTGAAATCGACCCAAAGAAGCTGGACACGGTCAAAGCGTGGCACCCCCCGACGAACATCACGGAGCTGCAGAGCTTTTTAGGGTTCGTTAATTATGTGCGTCGGTTCGTCCCCGATATGGCACGGTTAACTGCCCCACTGACGGATTTACTGCGGAAGGGGGTCACCTTTACGTGGGGGGAGAAAGAGCATGCTGCCTTCTCTGCCCTGAAACATGTTCTCTGTTTACCGCCCGTACTGCGCATCGCTGACCCACACCGTCCCTTCGAAGTGGTAACCGACGCAAGCGACATCGCCATTGGAGCCGTACTGCTACAGGATTTCGGCAACGGCCTACAGCCTATCGCCTACGAATCACGAAAGCTGCATCCGCCCGAGAAAAATTACCCGATACACGACCGCGAAATGCTCGCGATCGTGCATGCGTTCAAGGTCTGGCGCTGTTACTTGACTGGCGCAGACGTGACAGTACGGACAGACCACCGATCCCTACAGTACCTCCGTGCACAGCCCCACCTCAACCCACGACAGATCCGCTGGCTCGATTTCCTCGAGTCAAACTTCCACTACACGGTCACCTACAAAAAGGGAGCATCCAACATTGCTGACGCACTGACCCGCCCCACTGCCCAAATCCACGCGATACTACTCGCCCAGAACAGCCCGCTACTGACAGGACTATTTACCCACGGGTACCAAACGGATCCATTCTTCACAGGAGGAAATCCGCAACAGTTCGCAGCAGCAAAGGGAGTCTATTACGTAGGACCGACCGCATCTGGGTAGTTCACGACGCGACCCAACCTCACGGTTCGGTTGGTAACCCGCGCTCCGGACCTCCGCCTCGACATCTCCCAACCTCGGCACTAAGCCCGTCGCGCACCCCACTTTTCACACATTACCGTTACCACTGTAGTTTCGCTATATATTCTTCGCTCATGCCTTCGCTCATTGTACTTTTGCTTCGATAGTGCAATTCTAGCTCGCTCGCTCAATTGCACTCGTAACAATGGTAGTCTAAGGTGAGTGTAGTGGAACAGTGCTTGAAATTGAATTTGCCGATGTTACCAGATGAAGTTGAGAATCCGTCGCCAAGCTCCAAAAAAACAGCTCTCGCGAAGCTGCATTTCTTCGCCGCCCGAATTCTTGAAATATACGAAGATTAGTCTGTCGCCAACTACTTCAAGCTTAGGATTTACGAGAATTTGCCAACACTATTTGACAACTTTCTGGATTTTGGAAAACAGCCCTGGGATTCGTATTCTTCACGCCAACCCCACACCAGCTATTGTTTCGTTCCCAATCTCTCTCGGAGAGGGGTTTCGAGGCTTTCTCACACTCTTTCCTACTCGTCCCCTGAGACTACTCACAAGGCAGCGACCTTCTACGGTACTATTCAGTCAGTATTTAAGAAAGCGACTATTCTAGGGCGTAAGGCGTTCGCGCCTAAAGCGCTGGCCGATTGCGCTCGTAAGGCGTTTGCGCTGCGCACCACCGTCCCCAATCACCCCGCGCTCTCTCTCCCTCTTATCCGCTCTGCATTGATCTGTGCGCTTTTCATCCCCCCTTCTTCAGAAACCGTTCAAGGCGTGGATGCTGCTACCACTCGCTCTCTCTCACAATCCCCACGCACATATCTCCCCCCTTTTCCCCCGATCCCTCCTCTGCTCTCCCCTTCTCCTCCCCTCTCTCCCCCACTCTCCCCTCCGCCCCCGTTCTCCCACACAACTCCCAGGTGGGCAAGACGCAGGTGGTCCTGAGGGCGGGGCAGATGGCGGATCTGGATGCCATGAGGGCGGAGAAGCTGGGGGAGGCGGGCAATGAGAGTATTCCAGTGCTTCTCTTCCACTCTCCTCCCTTCCCCCCACCCCCCCTCCAGGTGGGCAAGACGCAGGTGTTCCTGAGGGCGGGGCAGATGGCGGATCTGGATGCCATGAGGGCGGAGAAGCTGGGGGAGGCCGCCAAGGTCATCCAGAAGCTGCAGCAGGAGTTGGAGGGAGCAATGAGGAAGGTGGATGAGGCACATGCAGATACCCTCGCAGCAAGGGCGGAGACACAGGCAGCCAAGGCGGAAATCCAAGTAGCAAAGGCAGAGACACAAGTAGCCAAGGCAGAAACTCAAGTAGCCAAAGCAGAGACACAAGCAGCAAAGTCAGAGACACAAGCAGCAAAGGCGGAGACACAAACAGCCAAGGCAGAGACACAAACAGCCAAGGCAGAGACACGAGCAGCCAAGGCAGAGGGACAAGCAGCAAAGGCGGAGACACAAGCAGCAAAGGCGGGGACACAAACAGCCAAGGCAGAGACACAAACAGCCAAGGCAGAGACACGAGCAGCCAAGGCAGAGGGACAAGCAGCAAAGGCGGAGACACAAGCAGCAAAGGCAGAGACACAAGCAGCAAAGGCAGAGACACAAGCAGCAAAGGCAGAGACACAAGCAGCAAAGGCAGAGACCGAGAGGCTATCTTTTAAAGTGGCAACAGTGGAGGCGGAGGTGAGGGAGGAGATTGGGAAGAGGGAGCGGCTGCTGGAGGAGACGCAGGAGGAGCTGCGGAAGGTGCAGGAGCTGTGCGCACGGTGAGTGGGGGTTGTGTTGTGCGCGGTGAGTGGGTGTGTGCGCGGTGAGTGGGTGTGTGCTCACGCGGTGAGTGGTGAACCCCAACACCTGTCTCCACCCCCTCCCCTTCTCCAGGTTGGAGGAGCATGTGAAGAACGCAGAGCATGAGAACCAGGTGCTGTGCAATATCAGCAATCAATCGGACCTTAAGATCCAACCACCTTGCTTTGCGGTTCCCCTTTCATCCCCCCTCTCCCTCCCTTCCCCATTTCTCCAGACTGGAAGAGCAGGTGAAGAACGCGGAGCAGGAGATCCAGGTGCTGCGTCAGCAATCAATCAATACTCAAACCCATCCACACTGCTTTGCTCTGTGCACCTTCCATTCCCCCTCTCTTCCCCCCCCTCCCCTCTCCCCCTCCCCCCAATTCTCCAGGTTGAAGGAGCAGGTGAAGAATGCGAAGCAAGAGAACCAGGTGCTGCTGAGGCAACAAGCCTTGGCTACGTCTGAGGCGAATCACTGTCTCTCCCAACCTTGTCACTCACCCTCCTTCCGTTCCCCTCCTCTTCACCATCCCACCACTTCCAGATTGGAAGAGCAGGTGAAGAACGCGGAGCAGGAGAATCATGTGTCAGCCGTCTCATCCTTCTCACATCCCCCCTCCCTTCTCTCGCCCGCTTTTCCTTCCAGACTCGAGGAGCAGGTGAAGAATGCAGAGCAGGAGAACCAGGTGCTGCGTCAGCAGGCCCTGTCAGCCACCATGCCAGCACCTGCAGCACCTGAAGCACCTGAAGCACCTGAAGCACTTGAAGCACCTGCAGCACCTGAAGCACCTGAAGCGCCTGAAGCACCTGAAGCACCTGAAGCACCTGAAGCACCTGAAGCACCTGAAGCTTCTGAAGCACCTGAAGCACCTGAAGCACCTGAAGCACGGCAGACAGTGAGTGCGAAAGAGCAACACATTTTGGAATACAGAGCGATCAAGGGTCTGGGGAAGTCTGTCAGACGCTGCACCCGCCAGAGTCTGATTTGGAGACTTCACAAAATCAACCTACAAAAAAACCAGGGCACTGCTGCCACGCCCAGTGAGGAGGAGAGCAAGCGGCTGAAGCATCTGAACGACCGGCAAACTGTGAGAGTGCATGAAGGAGAGGTAGTGGCTGACAGATGATAGCTTTGCGAATGCATGAGGGAGAGGGAATCCTGGGTGACTGTATGAGAAAGTGCTTCTGATGCTGCATCCGCCACAGTCCCCTCAGGGCAACCCCGCCACGCCTAGTGAGGTGGGGAGCAAGCAGGTGAAACATTTGAGCGAATGCTTGAAACATCCAGACCGTGCCAGGCGGACTCCCCGACCAAGTGTCGGGAGCCTGCGTCTCGTGCTACCTCACCTGTTGCTCGTCCTCGTCGCTCTCGTGCTTGCTCCCCACATGTTCCCAGTACTCACACCATGGCACTTCGTCCTTCCTTTGTACAGCCTGTTGTCCTGCCGTTACCTCCACCGACTTCTCTTTTTGACGTTCCCGACCCTGTGTCTGACCTTGCAACGCCTGTGCTGACCGTCCGACTGTCACTCGTCTTCTCGCCACGCTTGCGACGGACCCTACTTTTTCGTCTGCTTCTGCGTCTGCCTTGGTCGCTGAGCTTACGGACTTCGCTGCTACTCGCCGCCTTGACTACCTCGCGAGTCTGGTTTTTTACTCTGTCTGTCCTTCCCCACATCTCCCTCCCTGCGCTCTCAGATGCTGCAGCCGCCAGAGTTCCCTCAGGGCGCCCCTGCCACCCCCAGCGAGGTGGAGAGCGAGCGGCTGAAGCATCTCAATGATGTTGAGTCGGTGAGTGCTTGAGAGACACACATCTTTTGCAGTACAGGAGGCATGAAGGGTCTGGGAATGTCTGTCAGATGCTGCATCCGCCAGAGTCCCTTCAGGGCACCCCTGCCATGCCCAGTGAGGTGGAGAGCAAGCGGCTGAAGCATTTGAATGACCGCAGGGTAATGGATTTTTCGTCCCTCACTGACCCTCTCACCTCGTCCTCTCGCCCCGCTCATCCTGCTGCCCTGAACAGAAAGACCAGGAGGCTCTTCGCTGCCCTGAGCAGCAAGTGCAGGAGCCGCTTCGCTGCCCTGATCAGCAAGACCGGGAGGCTCTTTTACAGGTGATAGTGAGCGAGCTCGGGTTCGACAACGGCCGGCCGGTGGTGGCGTGTGTGACGTACAAGGCGCTGCTGCACTGGCGGTCGTTTGAGGCGGAGCGCACGAGCGTCTTCGACCGCATCATCCAGACCATTGGCGGGGCCATAGAGAACCAGCAGAGCAATGAGAGGCTGGCGTATTGGTTTGCCAACACGAGCTGCCTGCTGTTCCTGCTACAGCGCACGCTCAAGGCGAGCGGGCGGGCGGGGTCGCAGGCGCAGACAATCCGATTTGACCGCATGTCCCAGGTATGGGGTGTTTGAGGCACAGAATTGTAATGATTATAATTATCGATATTTATTTTGCACGTCAACCAGCCGCCTGCGTCGCATTTTGCATTTTGTGTGAGTGCGAATTTTTCATTTTCATTTTGTGTATGTTCTGTGCGCATTCGTCCTTGCATTTTGTGTGTTTTGTTTTCATTCGTAATTGCATATTGTGTTAGTGCATTTCTGTTGCGTGTTCACTGTTCTCATGAAGCGCTCAAATGAGGCTCCCATGAAACGCTCAAATGAGGCTCCCATGAAGCGCTCAAATGAGGCTCCCATGAAGCGCTCAAATGAGGCTCCCATGAAGCGCTCAAATGAGGCTCCCATGAAGCGCTCAAATGAGGCTCCCATGAAGAGCTCAAATGAGGCTCCCATGAAGCGCTCAAATGAGGCTCTCATGAAGCGCTCAAATGAGGCTCCCATGAAGCGCTCGAATGAGGCTTTCTTGAGACGCTCAAATGAAGGCCTTATTTAACTCAAATGAAACTCCCTTGAAAGTCACATGAGACTCAAATGTCTTATGCGAGGCTCTTTGGGGCCTCATGCGAGCGGGTGGTGTACCGAGAGGATCTCGGTTGTTTGACTGGTCAAGGGGGGTGCCTCGACCATTTTGCGCTGGTCAAGGGGAAAACGTGTCGTCGGTTTCAGGTGCCAGGTAGAAAACGTGTCGTCGGTTTCGCCAGGTGCGCACCGTCGAGCACGTTCTGCCGTTCCGCAGGTAGAACTTCGCCAAAACCTCCTGGGCGAAAGTTCGCACGCCTCCGCAGAGTTTCGCACAACTCTGCAACTTCGGTCGATCAGCTCAACATCGCTTGGTCGAACAGCGTTCGCCGAGCAGAGCTCCTCGACCCGAACTCTTCGGCCAGAGTTCCTCGACCCGAACTCTTCGACCAAAGTTCCTCGACCAGGATCGTCGACCAGCGCTCTTCGACGGGAGCTCGTCGCGCAGAGATCGTCGACCAGAGCTCGTCACGCAGAGCTCGTCGACCAGATTCTGTCGAGCAGAGCCTGCTCGACCGCAACTTCCGTCGAACTGCAGAAGCCCATTTCGTCGACCAATCCGTCGCGAACTTCTCGTCGACGGCGAGATCGGCTGCGCCCAAGCGAGGGCGGGGCCTTTCTCTTCGACACTCCCCTGCCCAGCTCACAAGGTCCACACAGAATCCAGAGGGATAGAATACAAGGAGAAATTTTCCTTCTACGGGCACCCAACACATAGCACGTAGATCACCGCACCAGCCGTGAAGAAGGGCACGGCACCTACTGCTGCACCTCGTCATTCCCGTCGCCCACGTCAGCCAGACGCACTTGGCCGATTGCGACGGAGCACCGGTTGAAAGCCGGAAAATGCAGCGCTTTCGTCAGAAAGTCCGCCGGCTGCTCGGTGGTCGGGATGTACTGCAGAGCAATCTTCCCGCGCTTCACCATCTGCTGCAGCCATGCGTAGCGTCGCTCCATGTGCTTGAGGTTGCCCTTGAGCCCCAAGCCCTCTGCGACAGTTATCGCCGACTGGTTGTCCACGTGCAGAGCAGTCGGCTTCCTTGTGTCGAGCAGTCGGAATTCTGCAAGAAGGAAGCGTAGACGGCGAGCCTCCTTGCCGGCTTTGGTACCCACGCTCACCACGCTGCTCACGACGCTCAAAGCGAATCATGTGCCGTCTTTCCTCGTGCGCAAGCTCGTCACTCAGATCTTCTCCTTCATCAACGTGCAGCTCTTTAACAGGTGGGGGGGTTTGTAGTTCGGTTGAGAGAATGTTGGTGGGCGTCTTGATGGGTTGCTAGGCCATTCAGCTATCCTTCCTCGTGCGCAAGCTAGTCACTCAGATTTTCTCCTTCATCAACGTCCAGCTCTTCAACAGGTGGGGGGGAGAGAGTGGCAGGTGGGGTAGGAGGGGGTGTGAGTGAGCTCGCAAGCTGGTCACTCAGATTTTCTCCTTCATCAATGTCCAGCTGTTCAACAGGTGGGTGGGTGGGTGGGTAGGGGTGGGGGGGGGGGGGTTGTTGGGTGGGTGGGTGGGTGGGGGGGGGGGGGGGGGGGGTTGGGTGGGTGGCGCGTTTTGAGGCGCCTCTAAGCATATCTCCTCTTTCCATGCCCCGTGTGCTTGTGCTGCTTCTCCTCCCCTTCGCCCGCCTTTTCCCTCCCCTCACATCACTCGCACACCTGCAGTCTACTGCTGCGGCGTGAGTGCTGCTCTTTCAGCAACGGAGAGTACGTGAAGGCAGGCCTGGGCGAGTTGGACCACTGGCTGGTGATGCTTGCTGATCACCTCTTCTATCTTCCTTCTTATACCCCCCTCCGGAACCACCTGTGCAGTCTGCTGCTGCGTCGTGAGTGCTGCTCTTTCAGCAACGGAGAGTACGTGAAGGCAGGCCTGGGCGAGTTGGACCACTGGCTGGTGATGCTTGCTGATCACCTCTTCTATCTTCCTTCTTATACCCCCCTCCGGAACCACCTGTGCAGTCTGCTGCTGCGTCGTGAGTGGTGCTCCTTCAGCAATGGGGAGCACGTGAAGGCAGGGCTGGGCGAGTTGGACCACTGGCTGGTGATGCTTGCTGATCACCTCCTCTTCTATCTTCCTTCTTATACCCCCCTCCGGAACCACCTGTGCAGTCTACTGCTGCGGCGTGAGTGCTGCTCTTTCAGCAACGGAGAGTACGTGAAGGCAGGTCTGGACGAGTTGGACCACTGGCTGACACACTCTCTTCTCTCTCCCTTCCCCCTCTCGCTCTTCTCTCTCCCTTCCCCCTCTCGCTCTTCTCTCTCCCTCCAATCCCTCCTCTCACAACCGACACACCTGCAGTCTGCTGCTGCGTCGGGAGTGCTGCTCCTTCAGCAACGGAGAGTACGTGAAGGCAGGCCTGGACGATTTGGACCACTGGTTGCACGAGGCAACCCCTGAATACACCGGAAATGCATGGGAGGAGATCAAGTATATCCGCCAATCCGTGGGCTTCCTGGTAAGTTCCTTTCATACGAATGGTAGGTATGTGTGCATAAGACCTTGTTTCCTCATTCAACCCCTCCTGATCCCCTCCCCCTCCTCTCCCATCCCTGCATCCCCTATGACCTGGTAATAAAATGCAAAAGTAAATACCATTTCCCACTCTTACATCCACATTTTCCTCTCATCCTCTCCCCCTCTTCCCCTCTCCTGCTCCTCCCTCCTCCCCCTCTCCCCTTCCACCGTCCCCCCTCCCCACCTCCCCTCCCCCCCCATCTCCTCAAGTGTGGCGCTACCAGGTGATTCACCAGAAGCCCACAAAGAGACGGCTGCCCTTTTCCTACCCTTTCATCCCCCAAACCCTCCCCTCCTCCATTTTGCGCTATGTGTTGAACTGCAGGTGATTCGCCAGAAGCCGACGAAGAGCATGCAGGAGATCACATCAGACCTCTGTCCGGCGCTGAGCATACAGCAGCTGTACCGAATCAGCACCATGTACTGGGATGACAAGTACGGCACTCACACCGTGTCCTCTGCAGTCATTTCGGAGATGCGGCGGCGTATGAGCAACGAGAACAGCGCTTCTGTCACCAACTCGTTCCTATTGGACGATGATTCCAGGTGGGTGCAAAGCGGTGGGGATGATTCGATGTGCGTGTGCGCTCCGAGGGTTGAGACGAAGGGGAATGTTTTGGGACGTCTCAAAGCAAACTCATGCCACCAACTCGTTCTTGCTGGACAACCATTCACACACGATGTTCCACAAGCAATGGCTATCTCAAGCTGGCTGTATGTGTAACGACAACACGATCCGGCATTCTCATCCTTGATTGTACACGGGAGCATGGGATATCTGATGTTGCTTCTTCCTAGGTGATGATTCCTGCTTCGAGCGGGATTTTGCAGGAAAGCTGGATTTTGCTGCTGAGTTTCCTCTTCGTCCAGGGTGACGGTTGAGTCGACTCAAGAGTCAACAAATTTCTCCATCTCAATCTCCGCTTCTTCCACTCCCAATCTCTCAACCCCCATGTTCTTCCCGTTACCCATCCCCCCACTGCCTACTCCATCATTCCTTTCCCTCTTTCACTTAATCTCTCCCCCATCCCTCCACCCCTCACCTCCTTCCCCAACCCTCACATCGTTCCTCCTCTTCCTCCCTGCTCCCTACTCACTACAGCATTCCCATATCTATTGACGACATAACAAGAAGAGTGCCCACAAGATCAACCCCCTCTCCCCCACGCCTCCCTATATGCCTCTCTCACTCCAGCATTCCCATACCTGTGGACGACATAACAAGAAGAGTGCCCACAGGATCAACCCCCTTCCCCCCACGCCTCCCTATATGCGTCCCTCACTCCGGCATTCCCATACCTGTGGACGACATAACATGAAGAGCGCCCACAGGATCAACCCCCTTCCCCCCACGCCTCCCTATATGCGTCCCTCACTCCAGCATTCCCATACCTGTGGACAACATTTTTAAAAGAGCGCCCACGACAATGACCTCTCCTCTCCTTTTCCCCCCTTTCTCCCACACTTCGTTCCCGTTTGCCTCTCCAGCATCCCAGTCTCACCAGAGGCCATAGCACAACGAGATTGACCTCGCTTTTCCCATGCCAACGTATACTCTTCCCCTTCTCCCCTCCCGCTTCTCCCCTCTCGCTTCCCACGAGATTTACTTGCCTTCCCTCCCATATGTCTTTTTTGTTCCCCCCCCCCCCCTTTTCCCCACTCCAACTCCCTATGCACCCCAGCATCCCCTTTTCTGTGGAGGACATATCAAAGAGCACCCACGAGATTGACCTCCTCTCCTTTCCCCCTTCTTCTCCCCCTCTCTGTTCCCCTTTGAAATCTCCAGCATCCCCTTTTCTGTGGAGGACATATCAAAGAGCACCCACGAGATAGACCTGCGGTCGCTGCAGCTGCCACCAGCCATTCGAGACAACAGCACCTTCCAGTTCCTCCTCACTCACTAGCCTCCCTCCTCCTCACACACAAGCCTCCGTTCCCCCTCACACACAAGCCTTCCGCAGTTCCGTCTCACTCACTGGCCTCCTTTATCGGACCAAAGCACTTGCTTTCATTGCCTTGTCACTCACTAGTCAAGCTTGATTGCTAACCTTCATTATCCGCTCACTTACTAGACCCACACTCACTCTCACATCCTCCTTCCACCGGTTCCTCACTAGCAGCACCAGCTGCTCAGATCAGCGCCTATTCATCGAATGTTGCAGCAGCCGATTTTATTATGTGGCTGAAGCCTTTTTTATCAGTTGCTGCAGGTCGTGCCAGCAGATTAAGCTCAGCAGATGTTGTAGCAGTGCCAGCAGCAGTGGGAGGGGAGCAGCATGGGAGGCACCATTACCACCACTGGCAGAACCCCCTCGTTCTGCATGGCTTAAAAGTGTGGTGATAGGTGCAGTGAGTTTAGAACGGAATTGCTGCATGGTACCGTAATCCCATGCATAAAACACCCTAGGGTGTTTTGATAGTGACGTGCAAGTGACAGCAGAATGAGTAGTGGTAAGATTGACATTATGTTGACTAAAATAAGAAACACATATGCACTCATTATCCTCCGAAGGTGTGTTTCAAAATTGATCGCTTGTCTCGTGATAAGCGAACTCGCTTTTCTGACACCAAGCCAGATCGTCGTGATGGTCACGGATTTCACGCAACGGTTTGAAATGTTTATTTCACCTGCCCTTCATTTCTGGTCCCGACTCATCCGCAGGCACTTGATACACTTTTGGCAAAAATATTCCTTCTCGCCAGCCCTGTCGCCAGGCGCGGTTGTTTCCCGCGCTGTTTTTATTTGAGCTGCGCTGCGGCTGTCAAACCACCGACTGGCTTGTGCTGAGCTCTGGCGAAAACAAACACCACGCCCGACCACATGCGATATTGTTGAGTCGCCTCGAGGAGCCGCGTCCCATTCGTCCCGCCAGAAACGGAAACGAGACGTCAGCACTGCAATCCTTCACGAAAAACAAACCGAAGGAGCTTTGAGATCGCCATCGTCGCGCGAGGATCGTCGCCCAATCCTCATCCCGCATTCATCGTCGCGCACTGATTCAGTGCGCAAAAATCGTTGCGCCTGAAATTGAAATGAAACAAAGCACCAAGCCCTGAATTCTCGGCTATGCTGCCCGTTTTCGAAACGCCATCCGTCAGGGACGCACACATCACACTCTGCCTCAACCGCACCAGCGAAAATCCCTCCCAGCCTGCCCTCCATCCATCCAAACAACCATCCGTGCCTTTCTCCCCCCAACCTCACACAACCAGGCCAAGTCGTGCCCTGTCGTAAAACCGAGCCGCCATCCTGCAGCACAGCACACAAGCTCGCTCCCCCAGCCGTTGCGCCTCTCTTTCTCACCCCTATCCCCTGCCTTTTTATAATCCTCAATTCCACAATTCCAATCAAGCATTTCTGCTCCACCTAGCTCCAGTCTCTCTCATTAGGCAACTCGTCAAGCAATCGGTGTTTGAAATCTATCCCCTACTCTCCACGGGACGCCAGAATCGCAATGGCTCCCAACGCGTGTAGCGCCAGTCCCACCTTCGGCCCCATGCCTGTAATCTCCCCCGCGGAGCTCAAGCAGGCTCCCGCCACCACTCTCCCTACCGTGCCTGAGCCCGCCGTTGCTCCCGCCGATCCGCCCGCCCCTGCGCCCGCCGCTTCCACCCCCGCTGATGCAACCCCGGCCGAGCCCTCCGCTGCTCCCGCGGAGCCCGTGCAGCATCCGTCCGCGGAGGAAATGGCGCAAGGGCCGGTCATGGAGTCCACCGACTTCACTTTCTTGGGAATGCCGATCCAGCAGCTTAAGATGATCTACCACCACGCCGTGACTCAGTCTGCGCGGCTCGCGCTGCCGCTTCTGGCGGCCGTCGCGGTCCAGCTCACGCGCAACGTGGATTTCCAGGCGCTCTGGAAGCAGCTTCTCACACTCGACACGTCCTACCTCGTCGCCGCGTTCTCCGCCGCGCTCTTTGCCGTCACCGTCTACGTGCTGACGCGCCCGCGCCGCGTGTTCCTCGTCGACTTCGCGTGCTACCGCCCCCCCGACCACCTCGTCATTACCAAGGACGTGGCCGTCGATCGCGTCAAGAAGCTCGGCTACTTCGACGAGAAATCCGTCGATTTCCAGACGAAGGTGTTTTTCCGGTCGGGGCTCGGCGACAGGACGTACGTGCCGCCGTCCATGCTCACGTGGCCGCCTTCCCCGTCGATTGCGAACGCGCGAATTGAGGCGGAGATGGTTATGTTCGGCGCGCTGGACGAGCTGTTCGCCAAGACTGGCGTGAAGCCCCAGGATATTTCCATTCTCATCGTCAATTGCACGGTCTTCTGCCCGACTCCGTCGCTCTCGGCGATGGTGATTAACCACTACAAGATGCGCGAGGACATCCAGTCGTACAGTCTGGGCGGCATGGGTTGCAGCGCGAGCATCATAGCCGTCAAAATGGCTCAAGATCTGATGCAGGGCCAGGCGAACAAGAACAAGCTCGCGGTGATTGTCTCAACCGAAAACATCACCCTGAACGCGTACCTCGGCAACCGTCGCTCGATGCAGGTTACCAACGTTTTGTTTCGCATGGGCGGAGCAGCGGCGCTGCTTTCGAACAAGCCGATCGACGCGTGGAAGGCGAAGTACGAGCTGAAGAATGTCGTGCGAACCCACTTGGGCGCTGACGACAAGGCTTACCAATGCATTCACCAGAAGGAGGACGAGAAGAAAATCGTCGGCGTGATGCTCTCTCGCGAGCTTATGAGCACTGCCGCGAAGGCTCTTAAGGCGAACGTGAGATCGCTCGGCCCGCTCGTGCTGCCGCTTTCCGAGAAGCTGCTCTTCGCCGCGGCGTACATCGCGCGGCGCGTGTTTAAGATGGATATTAAGGAGTACACCCCCGACTTCAAGCTCGCGTTCGAGCACTTCTGCATCCACCCCGGAGGACGCGCGCTGCTCGATGAGGTTCAGAAGGGTCTCCGTCTCACCCAGGACAACATGGAACCGAACCGTATGACGCTGTACCGCTTCGGAAACCTCTCTTCCGCGTCGATCTGGTACGAGCTGTCGTACGTCGAGGCGCATGATCGCGTGAAGCGCGGCGATCGCGTGTGGCAGCTGGCGTTCGGGAGCGGGTTCAAGTGCCAAAGCGCAGTGTGGAAGGCGCTTCGTACCGTGCCCGGCGCGAAGAACCCCGGACCGTGGGCCGAGGCTGACGGCTACGTTCCCCCTCCCCCGGTCGAGGCTCTCGAGATGGATCCCGAGCCCCACCACTAGTTTCACATGGTAAATTACCCAGCAAAACTTCTCCTTCTTGACTCCGTGCAGCGACTTGTTCGATTCTTTTCTTTCCTCTCGTTTGTTTTGGTGCGTTGCTGACCTTGCCTTAGCATTCCTCCCTTGTCCTCGATCTTCTATTTCAGGGTCCCTCGCGCTCGGTCTGCTGCTGGCCCAACGGCGAGATCTACCAATAACACACACATACTACACACACATACTACACACTACTACACACGACTACACAAGCGACCTAACTATTGAAGGCCCTGCTGATATAGGGCGGATGACGGAGCAGCTGATATCGCGGACAAGCAGGGAGCTTGGGGAGATTCCCAGTGCTTGTTCCTTAGATTAGCTGCTAGCCTACCTGCTATTGTAGTTCAACACGATGATACGGCCTTAGATTAGCTGCTAGCTCTTCCATTTTAGACCATTTGTCCATTTCTTTTATACATCCTGAGAAATTTCATCATTACATTGTCGGCTTGCTGCTTCCTCCTGCCTCCATTCTCCTCCATGGCTCCTGTCGCTCTTGCTATACATAGAGAGTTGCAGCGAGCATCCCTTGTGCCTTGGGTCATGTCTTGTGGGAAGCTGTCTCTCCAACCCCCCTCCCTTACCTCCTCGCCCTCGCGCCTTTTGTCGTGGAACAAATCGTGTTCGCTGCCGTGGCAGTGCCTAGTCCCCTGTGCGATGCTTCCCCTGTGAACCTCTGTGCGTTGCCTCCCCTGTGTGTTGCCTCCCTTCCATGTTGAATCACCTGTGTATTGCCTCCCCTATGCCCTCACTTGTAGGACAACTCGTGTCATTGCCCCTCCTGTGCCTTCAGTCGTAGAATTAGTCTCTGGCCTACCCCTGTGCAATGCTTCTCCTGTTAGATGCACCTTGTGAGCAACTCTCTACCGCCTCCCCTGTGCTCTCAGTCATAGGACAACTCGTGTTTGCTCCCCCCTGTGCCTTCGGTCGTAAAACTAGTCCAGCCTACCCATTGCCCCCCCCTGTGCAACTTCCTGCGGTTCCTCCCCTGTGCATAGCCTCCCCCGTGCGCTCGGTCATTGAGGCAAGTTGGGTTGGGTTTCCCCATTGCCCCGCCTGTTCCCTTGGCACCCAAATCAGCCCGTTACGGTATCCCTCATAAAGCTCTTGGCCCTTGGGCACAGAGCAAGTGAGATATGTTGACGACAGCCTCACTTGTGCTCCATATTGCATCAGGATAAAACTCCTGCCGGGGGACCAAGGCCATGCCATGCCTAAAATGCGATGACCAACTTATGGACCATCACAGCGAGTATGTTATTGGAGGATAAGATAGAAACATATGCACTGTACAGGAATGCATCTAGCACTTGTGCTCAGACCCGTCTGAGAGCACTTGCAGCACCCCTGTCTCCACATTCCGCCAGAAGCAACCCTTTTTGTTGCTTCCTCGTACATTAAGGGTCTGGGACCCTCCCACCACGACCAAATTAGGTGTGGAGAAAGGCCCTACCACCACACCAGTGGCGTCAGCACCATCATTCGCATCCACGCCATTTGCAGCAGCGTTCCCTGCAGCACTAGTGCTGTTAGTAGCACTTGGCCCACCGTTACTGCTGGAAGTAGCAGTGCTATCTGTGCTGATTCCGTACTCAAGCAGGTTGCATGTCTGGGAGTTGAAGAGAGATTCTTTGGTGGATTTTGTGAGGCTGTTGCCATCCTTGTGAAGGTGCTGCTGCTGGAAGCTGTGGGCGAGAGAGAGCTTGAAGGAGGTGCTTCCATCTGAACGGGAAAACAGGTCGGAATTCGCAAGGAGAACGAGGGGGTAGAAGGGCGGGAAGATTGAACAAATTTTCCTGGACTTTGTGAGGCTGTTGCTACTGCTGGAAGCTGTGGGAGAGAGAGAGAGCTTGAAAGAGGTACCTCTGTCTGAGTGGGGGAACACATTGGGGATTGTAAGGAGAACGAGGGTGTGGGGGCGAGGGAAGGTTAAGCACTCTATGCTGGATTTCGTGAGGCTTTGCCGTCTCTGTAAAAGCGCTGCTGCTGAAAGTCGGGGGCGAGAGACAGATCGAACATAGTGCTGCCTGTTTCTGAAGGTGGGAAGATTCGGGAGTAGACGAAGATGCCGTGTGCCAATCTACCTACCTGGCACCTTGAACCATTTCAGAAAACCACCACTCCAGGTCTCACCATCTCACCTTGATCCGAAAACACCGTCTGGGTGATGGTCAATGGGAAATGATGCGTCACCGTGTCCTTTGCAATCAGCATCCCGCTCAGCCTGCCCCTCCTTGTTGTCACATTTGCAACAACATTGTACTCCGTTTTGAGGAATTTCAGCTGCCCGAGCGCCTCTGTGCGGCTCTGAAGCACATGATAGGCTTTCACCAGGCTGGTAACCACCCCACGAGAAGTGAGGATTCGCCCACCAATGGTGTATCGCCGCATGGCAGTGGCCTCCAAGGTTCCATCTATGCCAGTGTAAATGTTGGGCGGCGGCTCGTAGTACTGTAGCGCTGGAACCTAATCAAACAACATGTTAAAGAAAGGAGATCAACGTAGGAATAGAACAATGAGGAGGTTATAGAAGTGAGTGAAACACAACAGGCTCTGAGGATTCAAAAAGTGAAGGCAGAAGATGTGACGCGTTGATATTGACGTGCAAGAAAAGTTGTTGGCTGTTTCTGATTGAAACGAAGTCCTGTGCCTGGTGTTAAGTTAGCAAATGACTCACATCAAAGGCGGTGATTCTTCCTGTGGTCTTCAGCAAGATTGGATCCAGCCATAGGCGGAACACCCCACTCGCCAGCCACACCCCTCCCGGCAGCACCCCTGAAACCGCTACAGTGACATTGTGCTTCTTTCCGTCCGCAAGCAGTCCCACAAACGGGGTCACGTCTAACGAGTATGGCTCCAATGCAAAGCACCCGATCCCCACCACAGGGGTCCAGAGGGAGCGGCGGAGGGAGGAGGGGGAGAGCACGGGGAAGGGGAAGAAAGATCCTGCGAATCGTCCGTCTATGTAGACAACTATCTCGCGGTAAGGGCTTCCAGGGACGAAATTCGCCTTGAGAGGATCAGGAAGGGCGCTGTGGTAACTGCAATGGAGAACCGAGGGGCAACAGCAAGATTGGGTAAGACGTGGAGAACAGTTTCTTTTTCTTTTTCTTTCTTTCTATATTTCTGCCTCAGAATTTAAATGTTTAGCAACATGCACCGCCCTATCTCCTTTTAACCACAACATCACCTCCCTGAGTCTCCCACCTCCTCCAGGCTCCCCCAGTCACTTCCTCCCAGAACTACTTCTCCAGTCTCACCTACCCATAATCTCACTTCCCCACAATCTTACCTACCCCAGTCTCACCTCTCCAGAGTTGTACCCCTTCAACGTGTCACCTCCCCTAGTCTCTCACCTCCCCCAGTATCACCTCCCCCAGTGTCACCTCCCCCAGTCTCATCTTCCCCGGTGTCACCTCCCTAGATTCTCACCTCCCCCGGCCTCACCTCTCCAGCATGTTACTAAAGTACGCTCTGTCATCACTATGGGCCGTCAGCGTCAGATCCAGCTCAGCACGGACCAAATTCCTCGGGAAATTTCGCACCATGACCTCCCCCAGTCGCCCCTCCCTCAGTCTCACCTCTCCAGCATGTTACTGAAGTACGCCCTGTCATCACCATGCGCCGTCAGCGTCAGATCCAGCTCAGCCCGGACCAGATTCCTCGGAAAATTGGACACCATGACCGAAGCTGACGCCAGGCTGAAGGACGAGCTGCCACCTGGCGACTGCTGACTGGTCCCCAGGATTCCCCTGGCGTCTTTTCCGGAGAGGATAAGGGGCTGGCCACGTGTCTTGGAGGAGGAGAGAGGGAGCAGGCTGTGAGGGACGTGTGGGGAGAGCAGTCCCGCATAGTAGGATACCTCGAGATCTACATAAAATATCCCGGTGTTCACTTCATCCAAGGCGTTTTCCATGGTGATGTAAAATCGTCCTCTCTGCAGAAAATGCAGAGTGGGAATATGAAAATGCAAAACAGGAGAGAGGTTTGGGAAACGAGCAAATAAATCCGGGAAAATCTGGAAGATATAGTGTGGTCGAGGGCTTCGAAGTGGCTAAGCCATTCAGGCATATCATTCCTCAGTTCTGCGAAAATTGAAAACCGGAGTCTCAAGTTTCCCGAAGTTGCCTCATCCTTCCTACCTTTGGTTGGGTCACAAAGTCCAACCAAGCTTCCTACCTTTGGTTTTGTCACTAAGTCCAACCAACCTCCCTACCTTTGAAACCTGTGGACCCTGGGTTTTAAAGGCTCTCAACATATTTTTGAAACATATGTCACAAGAAACACGATGCAAAAACACCAGAACGGAGCAGAGTGTACAATGCTATCTGACTACGAAGTAAATGAGAGTTGACAACATATCGAAGAATCTTTCAAGGGAACTTATGAAGCCTCACCAAGAAGCACCAGATACAGTGCATCTCGACGTACCCTGCGCAGGACTTTCGAAAACTTGGTGAGGTCCCTCTCGAGAGCAAAGCGCACGCCATTGGCCGAACCAGGCGTGGTTCTGAGAGATGATGTCAGGGCGGTGGTACGAAGGGAGGAGAGATAGGGGAACGTTGGCTGAGAAGCAGCTGTGCACACCGATAATTGAGGAAAGAAGGATCGAGGAAGGAAAGAGTGAAAAACCCATATTGTTTTCCTAACCGGTGTCTCATCTCTTCAGCAATGACCTCAGTGCGTGGATGCCAGAGAAAGAGGCCGTACAGAGATCTAGAGAGCTCGAATCCATTGAAGAAGATCGACAGAACTCTTCCTTGTTGTAATCCCTTCACTCGCACGCCAACGCTGAGAACCACTTGCTTCCAGGCCTGAACCAGCGATCAAGACGGGAAGGGAACATGAAAGGAACATAAAGGAACCATGAAGTAGGACGAGTGAACCATGAAGAAGGAACCACGAAGTAGGAAACTTGAGGGGAACATGAAGCAGGAAGCATGAACAAGAAAGTCCTTGGGAATAAACTGAAAGTCGTTTCGATGGCATGACAACAGTGTATGTCGGGTTTCGGAATAAAAGGCAATGACGACCGTTTGCAGCGGCTTTGCAGCAACCAGTATACTTCAGAGAGTACCAGCGGAGCTCGTAACACGTATCAGCTAGTACCATGCCAATCAGTATCAGTTGAGACCCATAACACGTACCAAGCCGCACCCGGCAGGAGGTGTGTAGGCGACTTGGATCGTGGGCTGGTTAGAGGTATTCGCGAACGCGGCGTCTCGCAGGAGAATGAGTCGACACGGTGCTACGATCTTGGGCTTCTTGATCGGAATTGTGACTTCGCTAACCGTCGTATACCCGCTATAACGCTTTTCCGCCAAAGCCCTTGCTCGGCGTCCTCGTGGTGCTGTTGGCTTTCGTAGCCTTGACGTTGCACCTACTCCCTCAGCATCTTTTCCCGTTCCGTTTGCGATTTTTGACGGTTTCGCTGCTCTGTTCTGCTCCGTGTCACGAGAATAAAGTCTACCGTGTCTATGAGAAAGTCTACACAAGGGAGTTTCGCGTGTTCCTGATGAATCAGACCTAACCAACGTCCCTGAGCAGTCAAGGGAATCGTTTGAAATCCGTCGCCGTAAGTTTCTCGTAACATCATGTTTTTGCGGTACAACTGATATATCTGAGGGCCAGATCGCCGCCGAACACCAAGATACGCATTGGAAGCAAAGCGGAACTATCAGCAGAAGAAGGATGATGAAGGAGAGTGGGAAAGAGCGCGAGTAAGTTAATCTGGCGCTTGGCATTTGCACCCAAGAATCAACTTCTGAGAGGTCTGAAAGCTTGGCACTTGGCACCCAAAATTACTATCATGTCGACTTGTAATTGTCCAAACGACTCTCTTACTTCCAGGCTTGAATCAAACCGGATGAATCACTCACGAGCCCTTCTGTAAATGTGGAGTTCCTACATATACTTTAGCAGTGGAAAATAGTTTTGCCAGATGGGTAGTGGATACTAGTTCCGCTAAATGGACTAAAGGTCCAATCGTCCTCATCAGTTCAGAGATGACGGCTGCACCGACAAGCACTAATCCCAGATCACGAGCATCAAAACAGGCTTCGTTGATGCAACCGAGGCAGAATTACTCATTTTATCAGTCCTCTCTGGCGCCTGAATACCCAGATTTCCCCTGCCAAAATCCCCAACTTTCTAGGGGTCAATTTCGTTGCTTTAGGTTGGTCGGCATGGGGAATACTTTCGGCGGGAAAGTCAAATTTAATGTGGTGGTGGGCGGTGCGGCTTTGGAAGCGCTTCGGCCAAACCTGGCTGACAAGTCGAGTTTCTTATATGGTCTTCCTCGGTAATAATCTTCATCCAAAAAGCATCCTTCAGAACCATACACCCTTGTGGCACATTATTACTAATTGTGACAGACTGAGTTGGCTGGTAGTGATTTTGCGACGCCCAATTTGACGATGGTCAGCCACCAAAGCATACTCTCCCCCTCAACTGCCCCCTCGCGTCCCTTCCTTGCCTAATCTCATACCTAATCTCCCGAGCCTGTAGTGCCGTGCCTTCTGTCCCTCCCATGCCTCCCGTAGCTCCCCTCCCTCGTCTCCCTCGTCCTCCACGCCTCGCCCTTCTCCCCTCTTCCTGCTCCGTCCCCTTGACTCACCTCCCTACTGCTGAATAGCCCCCTCCCTCTCAGTCTCTTCCTTTCTCTTCCCTTACCCTAATTTCTCCATTAGTGGAGGTCCTCCGCTCTCTCAGCCGTTACTTCGTAGCGTGTCAAGATGGTAAGAATCGCACAGTTTTTAGTATTTTAGAAGAATTCGGGACTTCGGCACACATCATAACCATAGGGTTTTAGTTGTTTTCGGTTTAGACGCAGGCCATCTCAATTTAGGGTTCCGTCCCTTTTCCCCAACGTTACCTAGAACCCCCTCACATGGCTGTATGCCTCCGTCTGCTCCGTAACGCCCATCTCATAGTCCCTGATTTCCTTCGCGTTTCTTCTGTGTTCTGTTCTCTCCCTTTTTTTCGTTCCTCTTTCTCTGTCCCTTTCCTCGTCTGTCCCTTTGTTGTCTTCCCTTTCGTCGTCCGTTCCTTCCGCACCCACCAGGGTCGCGTCCGCACAAAGACGGTGAAGCGCTCAGCGCGGCTGATCATCGAGAAGTACTACTCGCGCATGACTCTCGACTTCCAGACGAACAAGAAGATCTGTGATGAGGTGGCAGTCATCCCCACGAAGCGCCTCCGCAACAAGATCGCCGGCTTCGCGACGCACCTGATGAAGCGCATTCAGAAGGGCCCCGTGCGCGGCATTTCGCTGAAGCTGCAGGAGGAGGAGAGGGAGCGGCGCATGGACTTCGTCCCTGACGAGTCGGCCATCAAGACGGACGTCATTGAGGTGAGTGGGCACCCAGGCAGCCAAGCACCAGCTTGAGGCCTCGAAAATGCAAAAATGACACCCAGCCACCCAAGCAGCCAGACAGCGCACCCAAGCAGCTGGACAGGCAGGCGGTCCGGCAGGCGCGCTGGCTGGCGTGCAAGCAATCAGTTGGGCATGCAACCAGATAGGCAGGCAGGCAAGCAAGCAGACAGGCATGCTACTGATGTAGGTATCAGAAGCAGGGGGACAGCAACGTTCGTTAGCAGCTGGGCGACTCCTATGGCAGCTGCTAAACGAGTAGCGGTACTATGCAGAATGGGCCGTCGTTCGTAGATGCCGACGTTGATTGAAGCAGATCGACGATAAGGTGTTCTGATTCAGGGTTAGGTGTTTCAGACTCGGTTTAACGGGGTTCGGCGTTCATCCTCAAGGCGTTGAGAGCCACTGTAGCGAGTTTTTTGGTTGAAAATGACAGGGTCGCTCCTTTTTGGCGACACTATCCGTCTCCGAGCCGATCAACCGAACGCAGGTTTTGAAGAGCCCTAAGAATTTTGCGCACTCGCTGTGGGCGCTGGCGCAGAAGGCTTATGCGGGCTTTGGAATTTCGCGTTTCCGAAGTAGCAGCTGAGTTCGTTGATACGCCGTCGTCGTTGAGGCCATTCGAGTACATTCTTTCCTCGTGTCAAGGCACGAGGTGTTAAAGCCTTAATGGCACGATAGTTCAGCCGCGACGTTGTCAGACACGAGCGCTCTTCCCTTTTAGTTTAGATTGTCTAAGGGGGTTCAAATGGCGTAGATCAATGGAGCTGCCACAGATTCTGACTTCGGGTGTTGTTGACGCTCTGTTCGAGTATTCCGGCAGCTTTGGGAAGGAGGGGAGTGGCGGGTCAATGCAGCTCCGTTAAGTGTTTTTACTGTCGCAGCTGATCCATTCGTGAATGAGTACGAGTTTTCGTCGTCAGAGCGTGACTCAGGAGCGTCAATAGGTTCCATACGCAGTTCTGGACCACGGAGTATGGTAGCCAGGCGGATGCAGTATGGATTGCTCAGATCGTTATGCTGAATGAATTCGAGGGCTATTTTTGCGTATGCAACTCGATTTCCAATATCCTTGGGTCGTGAAAAGGGAGTTCTACTTCTTTCCAGTTATGGAGGGAAGCTAGCTGAGAATTCTCGTCTTGATTTTCATACTTGCGTTCCCCATCGTGATGCTCTCAGGTTGACCCTGTTACCCTGGACATGCTCAAGGCCATCAACATGGCTACCCTTCCTGGTGTCACTCTGGTTCAGCCTGTGAGTGTCACAAAGCCTCATACTGTAATCTCCCCTTCTCTGCAATCTTGCCCATT